CAATAGGGCTTGTGGCTTTAGGGCTTTAGGGCTTAGTGGTTGACTCACCAAGCCTTCCGAGACTGTAAGACCCCATTAGTCGAGGGATACTGCTTGATGATATAGATCCTGCATTACTATAAGGACCCTAAACTATGGGGATTAGGTTATATTCCTTATTGAAATGATGCAGGATTTATATCATCATCAACCGCATGGCTTGTAACATGGGAGCTTAGGAGATTGCATCAGGCATCCATAGTTTTTGGATAGAAGTCTGATAAAAGGCTTTAGGGTTAGATATATGTATATAGAAGCGCTTTATCATGATTGTCTAGCCTAGCAAGTCCAATCAGTTTATATAGCAGGCTATACCTGGGAGCTTCAGAAAAAAACAGGAATGGAGTAGGATCCTTGGTATATGGACACGCTGCACAAAGTGCTAACTTAGTTTTACGACTGGTAAACCCTCAACTTCGTAAACCTAAGCCTTAATTAAGCCTTAAACCCTCAACCTAAGACCTTAACACAACTTAACACCTAAGCCCGAATCTCTGCAAAACCTAGCCCCTAGCACCCTAAACCCTAAAACCCCTAAAGCCTAAAAGCCCCAAAAGCCCTAAACCGTAAACCTTAAAAGCCCTAAAGCCCTAAACCCTAAAAACCCTAAAAACCCTAAAAACCCTAAAAGCCCTAAAATCCCTAAATCCTAAACTCTAAACTTTACCATCCCCGGCCTATGAGATTCCGGCCATGGACTTTGGCCAGCTCGTTCTGGGAGATGTCGAGCAGGCCGTAGCCCTTCTTCCTCCGGTTTATGTGGGTTTAGGGCTTATGGTTTAGAGCTTTGGGGTTTTAGGGGTTAGGGTTTAAGGTTGAGGGCTTGGGGTTTAAGAGCTTAGGGTTTAGGGATTAGAGTTTGGGGTTTAGGGTTTGGGTTGAGGGTTTAGGGTTTGGGGTTTAGGGGTTTAGGGTTTAGGGTTTAGGGTTCAGGGTTTAGGGATTAGGGTTTGGGTTTTAGGTTTTTCGGCTTTAGGGCTTAGGGTTTAAGGTTTGGGGTGTGAAGGTTCTTTCTGGATTCTACAAAGGTCACATAAACATAATGAAGGTGGTTGGCACAAGCCTTCATAATTTGATTAGAAGAATACGACACTTTTAAAGGGGTTTACCAGGTTCTGTTCATTGAGTTTGTAGGGTTTGGAGGTTTTTGTATGCCGTTTCCGGTTGTAGGGCTTAGGGGCTTCAGGGTCTACGTCCGATACGGTGCAACGGTCAGGAATTCACTGGTGAATAAAATGCCCCTAAACCCCCCCAACCCTCAACCCTAAACCCTATACCCCAAACCCTAAACCGTAAACGATCCGGAGATTCGACGGGAAGTATACCACCGGGGTGAAGTTCGCGTCAAGCCAAAACAGATCAAGTCCAAAATCGCTGCTAAGCTGCGCGAAGCAAGCTAGCGCCCAACGGAGGCAGAGCGAGCGCTCAGCTTACACTTGGCGTCTCAAAACCAATCAAAATTGGGTGCATGGAAGGAGCGCCAAGCAGCGTCCACCGGGTAGTGCACAGAGAGCTGCTCTAGTCTCGCGAGCGCCGCATCTACTGTCAAGTCTGACTCTGTCAAGAGCTGGTCCTTCTCCAAGCGCAGGAGCACCAAGGCTTGCCCAGGCAAAACGATGCTTCCAAAGAAAGCCAAACAATAAGATTCCAACTACAGTGGCGTTCAGGGTCAGAAGTTGGTTTCAGTCCGATGCGGGTGCAGAGCCGTAACAGAGACTTCCGAGAAACGGAAACACGTCTGCACTGCTCTTAACCCTAACCCAACCCTAAACCCTGAACCCGTCAGAACTCTGGCTGTTTAGTTGGAGGCACTTTCCCTAAACCCTAAACCCTACACCGTTTAGTGTTGCACCGCGACAAGGCAAAAGAATTTCAAAGATAAACAGGCGATGGGCACAGGATCCAGCGTCATGAAGAATATCGAGGAACTAGGGATACCCAGAACCTACATCAAACACTGAGTATCTTTTCTAGCCACGACATCTACCCCTGCCCACGACCTCCACACACCTCTATACCCGCAGACCCTACACTGCAAAGCTGAAAACCCTAAACCCTAAACCCTAAAAACCCCTAAACCCTAAACCCTAAAAACCCTAAAAACCCTAAAACCTAAACCCTAAACCCTAAAAACCCTAAAAGCCCCTAAACCCTAAACCTCAACGCTGCGCTGCACACCCGCAAACCGGAGGGACCGAAAGCCTAAAGCCCTGGACTCTCTACGCTCCTCTAACCCGCTTAGGGTTTAGGGTTCAGTGTTTAGGGTTTAGGGTGTAGGTTTTTAGGGCTTAGGGTTTAGGGTTTAGGCCTACACCCTAAACCTCAAGACCCAAAACTCTCCACTCTACACCCAAACGATTTCCTGCACCCTCAACTTGAGACGCGTGAACTTGCATGGCTTTGGATTTAGACCTCTCAGGATTTACTTAGGTTCCAGGGTTCGGGGTTTGGGGTTTAGGGCCCTTCTCAAACGGAAAGGGTGTATGGTTTAGGGTTTGGGGTTTAGGGAAAGTGCCTCCAACTAAACAGCCAGAGCTCTGACGGGGTTGGGTTCTGGTGCTTCCCTGGGGCCATACTGGGCTCTTGCTGAGAAACCTAGATTTACGTTACCACAATAGGGATCTATAGCAAATAATAACATCGTTTTCTTATCATGGTATTTAATAAAGACGCCCTAAACCCTAAACCCTAAACCCTACACCCTAAACCCTGAACCCCACTTCCTAAACCCTAAATCCTAAACCCTTAAAAAAAACTCCCGAACAAGAACCCAGTATGGAAGCCCTAAGTCTCGAGCCAACCACCCTGAACCCTAAACCCTAAACCCTAGATCCTAACAACCCTAAACCCTAAACCCTAAACCCTAGACCCCTAGACCCCTAGACCCTAAACCCTAAACCCTACACCATTACCCCTTGGAGAGGCTTCAAAGGGTCCGGGAGGCCTCGTAGGCTGAAAAGGAGCCACCATCCCACTTCAGTCGCTCCTGGATCGAGCCATTGAACTTCGGTCATCGTGACTGATTTTAGGGGCCTTAATAATCAATGATTAGACTAGGGTTTCGGGGTATATTGTAATTAAAATAAGGAATCCCAACATAGCTTTGGTATTTATTTTGGCCCCTATATTATTCGGTACTGTTGTGCTGTTGTGCGTAGTGTTGCCAGCGAGGGCAAGAGCACTAAAAGAGTCACTCTGAAAACAGAAAACAACGGCAATGCAAGACACGGTTCATACTTGCGAAGATGACAACATCCTGGGCCTCGCACGACCATATCGAATGCTCCATGACAGTCATGACAAACACCAAAAACAAGTCCAGCGTGAGACTGACTGGAATAATGATTCCCGAAATCCTTGTCTCTTTGGCAGGAGGTCCGAAGCCCAGGGCTCCCCTGCCCTTCCCGATCTCCTCGGCAGAGTAGAGAGCCCACAGCACTGCCTCTGGAGGCTCCGGCGTGGCGAGGACCACCTCGCAAAAAGAGACCCTGAAGCAAAGCAAGCTTTAGTATGCTTGCGACATCACCAAACTCTCGGCTTAAATCCCCTCCAAATCTCAATCCTGGACGTGCTCCGGACCCCTCCAGAACCCGCTGCTCCGCCACCTGCGAGGCGACGAACATGACCGGGTCGGTCCCCACTTGTGCGGACCAAACTGCGCAGTGTTCCTGCAAGGACCGGCATTGCTCAGAGGCCAGGGGACTTGGGTTGACTGGTGGAGCATGCAGTTCGGGTCGTTTAGGCCTGGAAATGACTTTTCGACTTCAGGCTCGGCTGAGAATCAGAACCGTGTGGAACCCCAGCATGAGTCGTAAGAGTGCTGATATGCAAGTTGACAACAGTGGCGATAATGCCCTCACCAAGACTTGACAGATTTGGAGGTTCATGGGTAGTTTTAAGTTATACCTGTAGTTCTCCTACTCATAACCCAACCATGAACCTCCAAGGAATGATCGCCGATGCTCGCGCGGCCTTGTGGACGATGCGCTGGATGACCATGTTCCTGACCGTCTGCTTCGTGCCAGGCTGTACCTGCCAAGCTAGGTAAAAAAAAAACTCAGACAGACTTAAAGTTTAGGGTTTCATGCTAGGGCTTAGGAATTTAAAAACCAACACATCTGTGTTAGTTTTAATTTTTTCTTCATATACTCTCTCACCAGTACCGAGAAAGAGGAGCGGAACGTTCATGCGAAACTTCCAATCAGCATGTCAGATAAGGTCGCCTTCCAGAGTGGACCACGAGGTCTTGGCGGCTTTCACAGTCGTTTTACTGCATGGGACCCCGATCCCCTTAACCACAACATCCCAACCCCTAACCTAAACCCGAAGCCCCTAAAGCCTGGACCCTACATCCTGAGCCAGGCTAGCCCCTAAACCCTCAGATCTAAGCCGTGAGACCCTCAACCCTTAGTCGCCTAAGTCTTTACCATTCGGGGCCTTAATAGTTGGACTGGGATTTGGAGTAATTATATTAAGAAGAAAGTATCGACGGGGCAGCAAGCGGATGTTATCGTTGACTGAGTCTTCACATCCCTATATTCATACTGCTCCGGAACTGTACCACACAGTCCCCAAAACCCCCTTCTTTTCAAGACAAAGCCCCAAGCCCACAGCCTTCTGGCAGGCGCCGCTGATTTCCATGAGCCTGGAGGCGTGGCTTAGGCTGTTAGAGCGCTTGGGGCCTTGGCTTTCAGCACTCTCGGACCTGGGCGAAAGGCGCTTGGGCTCCAGGGTTGGGACAGCTATGCCTGTACACTGTACACTGCTAAAAGTATGCTCTCAGCTGTCAGACCATGCACAGGCACACGGATGTATCTTGGAGGGCCATGTGCATCTCCTGCCTTGGCTTTAGGGCCGTTCAGGGTGAAAGGTTCGACAACCGCACATGCGCGAGGCTGTTGCGTCGAAACTCCTTGGCATCCACCAAAGGCATGCCTAGCTCGTGCACACGCTCCCACCCTCTATAGCCATGACAGATCGAGGTCGGGAATACATGGGGTCTCAACAGTATCATCCCACGGCTTCCAAAGGTCTGTTCCGGCTTGCTCGGCATCTTGCCAATGGCTTGACACTGGCAGTGTCTGGTGCCTGCGCCAACGTGCGATGACCCTTTCCGAGAAGCCAAGCTGAGACAGGAGGTTGTGTGGAACTAAGAGCTCCCACTCCTCTTCAGTCTCTCGCACCAGGGCGGCCTTTCCCCTCTTTCCCAGCTCGTGCATCAGTAGCTCCTTCTGATCACTGCACATGTTGAGGTGAACCCTCACGGCTGCAGCTTTCTCCTCGGCACAAACGCCGCCATCATGAAGGAGGGGCCCGTCGAGTACAACGACATTCAGAGAATCGAACTCCACCTCAAGAAGCTGTGCATGGGTGTAAGTCCGGGCTCTCGACTCCCATCGGTATGGAACTGTTCCAAGCACGTGGGAGGTCGTGAATTGCATGTAGAGTGCCTGCCACTCTGGGTCTTGGATCGAATCACGTCCGTCAAGGTCGTCAAGCTCCCATGCCAGTTGACGGATGGATTCTAGGGTCATATCGTCTCCAAGCACCTTGTATGCTCGAAAGTTCGGCACGCACAGCTCTGTGCTTGAGACTTCATGTACCTCCATGGCAAGCAAGCAAGCCCGCTTGCAGCTCGACTGCCGTCTGAACTGACGGCCTACAAAAGCACAAGAAGGGAACCTGTTCGGCCAGGCAGTGCTTGGGCCTCTGCTGAAGCTTAGTGCACTTATTCAGGCCCTGGCACCTTTCTTCCCATGCCAATGATCAATCCAAACGCAGGGATACTGACACCACCAGTAATGCGTGACCCTTGGCAGTCCCATTCCCGCAAGTATTTATATAGGAATTCGCAGAAGCCGACCATGTCGAATCCCTCCAGCCTCAGCCCTGAGAGAATTGATGCCATGATTCGCTTCTTCTTACCAACACGATCACCACCACCACCAAGGCGACTACGACACTACTCCTACTCCTACTCCTCCTCCTCCTACTGGTGCTCCTGCTGCTACTCCTGCTGCTGCTGCTGTTGCCGCTGCTGGTGCTGCTGGTGCTGCTGGTGCTGCTGCTGCTGCTGCTGCTGCTGCTTCTGCTGCTGCTACTGCTGCGGCTGCTAGAGCACGTTTGTCGGGTTCCTGGATACAATTTCTACTCTTGGCCCTGGCCTGCTCAGCAGCTCCCGGCCATCGCCTTCAATTGGAGGGACGGCCCTGGCGCTGCTGCAAGGATTTCTAGTTCTAGTAGTAGTAGTCGTCGTCGTAGTCGTAGTAGTAATAGTAGTAGTAGCAGCAGTACCATAAGCAGCGGCAGCAGTTGCAGTAGTATTTAGTAGAGAGAAGAATATTTATCATAACAACAGTGCCAGGCATGACATCGAGGAGACGAATGGCTCTTGAATGAGAATGAAATTGAAATATAATGAAATCACGCGGGGCTGAAAAGCGTGTACAGCTTAGGACGACCAGCAGTTAAAGGAGAACTACGACTATCGTCAATTCAAGCACAGCATTTAAAGGAAAACGTCCTCATAAGGCATCGCCAGCGAAAAAGGGCTGCCCCGAAAATCGCTTCGCCATTCTCCATTTCGAGCCGAGGCTTAGACAGCCATGAAGCAAACTGAACGCTGAACAGGAAGCTCTAAACCACTTCTTGAACTCCGCATGGATGATTTCCCACAGCTCGGTTTGGCTTTGAGGCATCAGAAGTCAGAAGCCTAAACCCTCAACCGGGCATCATGATTCCAAACTTACCCCAGCTTCTGCGAGGAAGCCCTCGAGTCGAAGATGCACTGGCACTGACCCGGTCTTCCTAGATATACGCATTTCGCCCGGGTTCACTTAACTCAGGAGGTTGCTGATTGCCTTGCCTAAGGGTAGACGCAGGAATGCATACCATCACACATGCCTGCGCATATGATGAGACACATGCTCACATACATGCTCAAGCCTCAAGCAGCGAGCACATGCAAGCACACGTGAATGTTTGAAGATATATATATATATAGAATATATATATAGAATATATATATATATATAGAATATATATATATATCTTTATTTATTTATTTATTGAGTTATTTATTTATTCATAGATATGTATATTATATATGTACAAATTCACACTACAGGAATGTGCACCTGCTGCGGTTCACGGCGCCGCGCGCTGCGAAACGGAGCTCGCCGGAAGCGCCGAGGTTGAGCTGGCATCGGAGAACCACTGTGGACGAGTTTCGTGTTGGTTTATCTGTGCGACGTCTTTTACACTAACATCCTAAGACTCTTTGTGCTACGTCTTTTACCCTAACATCCTAAGACTCTTCCTGCGCAGTGATATAGCTCTCGGCAGGTGTGTGTGTGTGTGTGTGGGGGGGGCCATACTCACAGAGAGTACTCGTACGATGTTTTCGAACTGGCAAACTGGGGGACGATTCTGGGTGCGGACCGAACTCTCCGACGTATCCACGTCTGAGCAGCCGCGTCACCGTAAGTAGATCTTTCCACGACAGAGGCTGGTCGATGGGGCACTTTCATGTTGATTCCTGTCGTTCTTGTTAGGCTCGGAACATGTCCAGCTCCTCGTGGCATCCAGTGCTGGCGTTGAAAATTGATTCCCGCAGCAATGTTCGAGTCATGGTGGTGTTCTGCTCTGGATTGAGATTTTGGGTCTCGAAGTTGAGTGGACCCCGGGCCACATGGGTCAGTCAACACACCTAAATCTCTTCATCCTCACGCCCCACCCGCACCACCGAAAGCCGAGGCACTAAATGCTGGTCTCAATGCCTCAACCAAAAAAGTAGCCTCGAGCTGTCCGTTAGTGCCTGTGGAATAACAGCCCCAACAGGCTGATCATCATTGTTGCTACCACGCAAGACTGATACCGGGCCACTTCTTCCTGGTGAATGCTAGTGCTGATCATCAAAAACTGTCGGTGACTACCAGTATCCCTACAAGTTTTCCATGACAAATCTTCCCTACAGCATAGCTTTTTAGTGTACCCGTTACCCATCACCATTGCAATGTCTGGACAATGGACACTGAAGCCCTGAAACGAAAAGCCTGGTGCACAGGCAATGCCTCGGGCCACCATGCGTCCTTTCGCCTTTCAGCAACGACCTTTGTCGAAGCACATAAGTACCTATCTAGACTACAGCTGAGCTTGTAGGCTTGGCTTTACGACGCGGCATCTTCTGGCAATCCCTTGGGGTTCCGAGCACCTGAGTCTGAGCTGCTGTTGGCCATCTTCGCCCCGCTGCAACTGCCACGGGAAGAATGAGACCACAGTAGCGGATAATCATGTCTACCATGCCAACAACAGTTCAAAGCCATTGACAAAGCAAAGGCCATAGCTACTATTAGCAACTCCCAATGCTCTTACTCGTATCATGAAAGACGGGCTGTCAGCCGCCCCTGATGCAACCTACGTTTGAAAGTCAGATCGACCTAGGCTACCTCAGTTCAAGGTCCCGGATAAACCCTAAAAGCGACCACCCCCAATGCCTAAAATAAATTCATCTATGCCCCAAAGCTTGCCAAATCTGGCATGAGAGCTGTACACTGTTGCCGGGGTCACGGCGGATTTGTCCGGAAGCTTGACCTGCCCCACTGACCCTTCAATGCTGGGTTTTGGGGTCCACTGGCCTTCTGTAAGCTGTAGGATGAGGGTCTAGGCTTTCGACGGAGTTCAGAATCTACTGTAACGTTTGGGGGATTTAGGCCTGGGCATCTCATACAGGTGAACACCATGGGTCTTGAATAGAAACCCTTATAGTACCAGCTTTTGTAATCCTTCTTGTAATCCTTTTTGCAATCCCTTTTGTGAAGCAATGACACAGCACCGGCGGCTTCCAGACATCGAGTTTAAGGGAGGCTTAGTGTCTGGCATCACGCGGAGTTCAGGGGTTGAGGCTTCCTCGAATGGACCGAAACCACTCGAAACCAGGGCACTTTAGACACAGCTCCCAAAGCCTGACCCAAGACTCCTGCTGTCTGCTCTCAAGTTTTAGGGTTTGGGCGGTCGAGGTCACAGATGGTCTGTCGTATCCTTTGGGGACCGATGGTTTTCCGTCCACTGTTGTAGCCACGAACACTAGACCCCAAACCCATCTTAAAAGACGTACATCCTAAAAGGAAAAGCACCAAAAAAAACTAACACTAAAATCCCTACTAAACCCTCACCCTAAACTTTAAACCCCCAAAAAACCTCCCCCAAAGCCACAGCCTTGGGTCGAGCTTTGGGAGAGCCAAGTGCGGAGAGACCGCGGCTGGCCAGGGCCTCCAAGTATAAGCTCTATATATATATATATAATATATGTAATATACTCTAATTCCAATATATATATATATAAATAGTATATATATATATCCTATTTTATATGTTATCATATATACCATAATATATACTATGATATATACTATAACATATACTACAACGTATACTTTAATATATACTTTAATATCTATATACTCGAAATATATATATATATATATACATACATACATACATATATATATACACTAGAACATATACCATAATATATACTAGAATATATACTAGAATATATACTATAATATTATATACTCTAATATATACTCGAATATATACAGAATATATTCTAGAATATACACTAGAATATCTACAATAACAATATACGATATTATAAGTACAGTATAGTATAATGTAACCCACCGGCTCTTGATTATTCCATTCGGGCTTAGGGTTTTTGTATATCGGTCCTTTCTCACTGCCCCAAGGGCTCAGGGTGTAGGGCTCAAGACGCCTAAGGCGCGAAACAGCGGCAAGTATCCAACACGAAAAGATGCCCCGATCATGCTAGCCACCAATATTCATGATCTGCAGGCTAAGTAAGACAAAAGCAGTACCTAGGAGGCCAAGAATAAGAAGACGAAGTTCATGGCTTTCGGACTCAACCTCGTTGAAGGACCAAGGGCTAGTGAGGCGGCCCTGGGATGCGCCCCCCGCCTCCCTTATGTACAGCCACCCTCAAGCACCTCGAGATGCAATCAACACGAATGGGAGACGTATAAGGGAGAAGAGCAGGGGAAGCCTCTCGGCAGAAGCACTAAAAAGCCTCATACTTGCGGCGATCGGCATGATGATGGCTGGAGGCTTTTGACTTTGACTCTGCACCCCCAGCCCGGAACCCCAAACAGAGCACAAGCCTTCTGAGAGCTGGCCCTGCCTGACAGGCCTTCCTCCGCTTCAGCACCGTAGCAAGGAGGACCAGGAAGCCTTGATGACACCGCGGTGGTTTGGTGGATTTGAAAATCTTGCTTGGGAGGTAGGGTGTTGAGTTGAGCTATGCAAACACGGGCTTAGCATGCTGGGCCAAGGGACGAGCAACTGACCTCATGAGCCAACTAAGAGCTACGCTGGCTTGCAGGAGAAGGTGGAGAGCACTGAAGCTGGAGCATAGCGTCGCAGCCCCTGGCGTGCAGAATTTTGAGGTGCCGTTTGCCAATGTTCACGCAAATGTTCCACTTAGCACCTCAAAGTCAAAGCGAATTTCCAATGTTGGCCTAGATTCACAACCTATGGCTATGATTCTGGCATCAAGGCGCTTGCAGGTGATCGACAGCTTGCCCTTCGGGAT